CTGCACTACCTTAATATTAGGCTCCTATTATTCTATTAGTCTATTAATACTCTTGTACCCTTCTTTACGCCTTAAAAAGCCCCTAAGCGCATACAAGAGGTCCCCAAATCGCTCTCCGTACTACAACTAGTCGTAGCTTCTATCTCTGCTCTTCCTACCTCCTGCAGCAGAAGAGAAAGTGCGGGATAGATTTAATTAGCCCGCACTCGCACTCTGCTATCTCTGCCGCCTTAATCTTGTAGAGATATATCTTGAGACTTGTCTTGCCTGTCTAAAGCTGCGTAAGGATCGCAGCCTCGCCGCTATCTAGTTACTGGTACAGTGCTGCCGCCTTGACTAGGTAGAGCGCCGCGTTAATCTTCCTTGTAAACTTGCCTACATCGCGTTGTCTAGCTAGAAGCGGTCCTGTTGTGATCTTTGCCTTCTTTAGCGCTTGTTTCACGAGATACTACAGGCGGCCTTCTTGCTGCCATGGTTCCTCGTCTACGAAGATGTCTACCTGCCCTGGCCTATAGTCGTCGATGATGTCTCACGCCTGTTCCTCGCTCTCGCAGAATACAACCTCAGGCCTGGCTACCCACGGCGGGCACGCATATGGCTTGACCTCCATCACATCGTCCATCCGAACCTCCTCGCACATCTCTGCCGTCCGCATCAGCGGTGACCGGTGCTTCGTGCAGAGCCGCTGTCGCTTGACTGGCCGAGCTTGTGGAGCGACACCCAGAACGCGATCGTCTGATTGCGCAGTCTCTCCTTCTCTTTAAACCGCAGGATGTCTTCTTCGCATTGAATATAGCTCTACTAGTGCGCTCCTACTTCTTGCTCAACGACGCAGCTCCAAAGCTAGATCCAACAGTAAAATCCACGCAGCTACGCCCAATAATTGCAACCCTCCGCGAATACCGGGCTTCCGTTATTTGTCGTGGGTACGCTGCAGTCGAGATAAGCGTGGCCTAATAAGTGTCGCAGGAGGCACAGGCGGGCCCGGTTTAATTGGTGAGCGTAGGTCGTTACTTCGTCTTTTTCTTCTTGGGGTTGCTGGACTTTGTTTGATTTGTTGTGGCTGGGGTGATCTGCTGAACACTCGACTGACTGTCCGGTACGACTCGACCATCAGCCAAGCTATACTCTTCAAGTTGCTGGGACAATCCTGAGCGTGATGAGACTAGGTCTGGATCCGCGGATTGAAGTTCGGACAGCTCAGAGACCTCGAAATTCAAGCCAGCGGGTAACATATCAATAGCGGAGCAGATTAATTTAAAGTGATCAGTGACCCATAAATCAAGGATGTTCATGGCAACAGTCCATCCAATCCATCTATTGTCCGCTTGTGCTGTCTTTTCGATATCAAACTTCGCAATTGGTTCCCGGTAGAACTCAGGGTCGTCCCCATTCATGACAATCAAATGTGCCCAAATTCGCACATCCACGTCACTATGCGAGTATGAAAAGCCGTTAATTGTGTTGTGAAGCTCTCTCTCTCGACCCACAAGACGGAAGAGCTCGAAAAGACCACGTAATAAGACGGTTTGACTGTGAGCGTTTTGTCGATCAGCGATATCAAGCGCGGATGCTCCGCATTTCACTTCGCTAGTTAGGAATGGAAAGTACATATCGTACGTGGCTGCAAAATAGGAGCAATCTTCTAAATCATTTCCAATAAAGGGCTGAAGCTTTTGCAGTTGTTCCTTAGTAAAAGCTTCCCGCTTGAATCCAAGGCTGTAGTCTGGTTGCGGGCGTGATCCATAAAATGGGATAGCGTTGTTCCAGCCAGCGTTGGTAGTCTCGCGGAGAATCTCTAGATGCTTAGAGCCGCGAATTGTTAGAACCTCGGCAGAAGGAACAATCAGCTGTGCGATGTCGCGAATCACCCTGGTCTCGTTCCTGCCTTTAATTAATTTCAAAGTATCCTCGAATAGATCATCTTCAAACAGTGTATCTTTTGGCGGCGACTGTGGCGACTTTAGAAGCTTTTGGCAAAGCTCTTTGCTCTCTACACTGATATCTTTGTATTTATCCATAAAGCTACCGCGTTCACTGAGCTGGCTTTCATAACGAGGATGTCGGTATGGGGCGCTCTTCTGTTCCCGCGGTAATTGGTCGCTCGGTGTTCGTGTTAGGACTGTTTCAGCGTTGATGCTCGCATCTGAACGTTTGCGACGTAGGGAAGCCGATGACTTCTTTCTTGCCAGCGCAGGCTGGACAAGCTCTCGAAAACGATCCATTGTTTCTTCTTGCTCCGCGTTCGGCCAGGTTCCGTTCTCTCTCCAATAGTCAACTCGAGCCTCGCTGATTGTCTTCCAAACTGTTCGTGTTCGTTTTGAGGGCCGCTCGAGCGAAACGCGGGAGGGTGTAACTTCGTCTTCTCGAGGTCGCTTTTGCTTCTCAGCCTGCGCGCGACGGTTCGTCCGGGGCAAATCTTGAGTTCGTAAATACTTCTTCTTAGGTTGTTTAATTGATGAGTTCTCGAGGTACATACCTTTCTTCGCCTGAAGTGGCATACGCTGTCTCTTCTGAGCGGCTAGAAATTCTGAACAACTAGCCATGCTAACTGGAATCGCAGGATCAAAGCGCTTATATGTTGCCGCCGAGTTTAAAGTGGAGGGTTGACTAATAGGAGTTAGAACACAAATCCGCAGGAAGCTAAGGGAAACGCCAAGCAAGGGAAACGCGCTAGTCCGGATACGTTGCCGCCAGCGCCTGCCCCCTCTGACCACTCCTGGAGTCCTGGCTCTGCATCGACATAATTATCATAAATTATGGTCAATTAGCAGAACATTGCAGGAGCATGGCATAGTATAGATTCTATATCTTTAGGACTTTTCTTAATTCCTAAACTTTTGCTAATAGACTTAAATAGGTAAGCATAATTAGGATAGTTACCTAATTAAGTATAACTTTAAGGCAAGGATAGTAGTAAGAGGAGATTTATAGCTTACTAACTTAATCTGTTTTACTTACCTAGCTAGTAGCTACTTTAGTAGCTTAAATATTTAGGACTATAATAGCTATTAGAGCTTAGTTTAATCTTAAGATAACCTAATATAAATAGACCCACGCCTAAGCAAGGGGACTGTTCAATAGCTGTATAATCCTTTATACTCGAGCATATAGATGCATTGACGTTAATAGATACAATTTCTGTAAGGAGATAGGAGCTAGTAGCATCGAATGACAAGCGGGACAAAGACTTGCCAACGTTAAACGTATGCAGACATTGCCGCTCTTATCCCAGATCTTGACAGCACCGTCATATGATGCTGACGCCAGCCGCGTTAGGTCAGGGGAGAATGTAACAGATCTGACCCTTCTGCTATGGCCCTTGAGCGTCTGCAGATATGCGCCACTGCTACTGCTTATATCCCAGATCTTAATAGTGCTGTTATAGGTTGGTAATGCTAGCCGTGTCATGTTAGGGGAGAATGCAACAGAGTTGACCGCATCGCCATGGCCCTTAAGCGTCAGCATACATGCGCCGCTACTCACGTCCCAGATCTTGATAGTTCTATCCTGGGACGCTGATGCCAGCCGTCTCACATCAAGTGAGAAGGCCACTGAGGTGACCGCCGCAACATGGCCCTCAAGCGTCTGCAGACACGCCGTCCACTCGTCACCTATGTCTAGGTTGACGGTGATATCTTTTGGCCCTTCCTGCTGAAACAGCTGTCTCACTATACTCTGAGTAGGGCTGAACAGCAGTGCAGATCTATAGGCCTGAAGAGGGCTACTCTCGATCGCTTGTTTGTGGTACATAACGAATCGATGTGCATCGTACACAAGTCGGGTAAACCCAGTCGCCTCTCTCTGTCGCTAGCCAATGTCAGTAGAGAATATCTGATGGAATCGCTTGTCGTAGACACACCTGCACTAATATCTGTAGCTTCCCCATCGAGACTACGCCTTTGGACACGCTCTTGCAAAGGCTAAGAGACTCTAGCCAATACAGATACATTTTGCTCAAGAACTCATCAACAACGTCCCCATCTCGCAGATATCCTGCATAGGTCGCCGAAGAGGTAGGCTTCAATTCGCATAGGTGGTCGATCCAGTGAACACATGAGCAGCGCAGCGCTGCTAGCGGATCTGGCTCAGGCATCTTAATTTCGTCGATAGTCATACCTAGAGCTTCTAGGCCATACATGTCCCGCCGCAGAGTTGTAGACATGATTTGAAGTGACCTGGTGAAGAAGGTCTGATGGACGGCCTCCGGTCCGGCTGGGGAAAGCTCTTGATCTGCATTATCAAGAAGAAATTTCTTAGCTGATTGGTGAACAAAGTACACAGTGTGCTCTCGTAGGGTGAGGAACGAGCCGCAAAGCTTAATGATCTCCTGTAACTCGGTATCGTCGGCTATGTCTTCCAGTTGCTTAACAAGGGTCACCAGCTCCTTGAGCGTAACTGGCCGATACAAGAGTGTAACCGCAGCCAGCACCTGCTTGCAGAGCTCAGCATTATCTATCTTGAAAATCTGCTGCAACATCCGCTGGTACAGGGAGTTCAGTCTAGGCGGGAACAACTTCAGCTTCCTCAGAACGTGTCGCTTGTTCGTTTTTTCAGTATGCTGGCAGACGAGCGCTACCCATAGGAAGGTGTCATCTGCGTTCGACACTAGATTCTTGATCAAGGCGCGCTCAGTTTGTTCGTCGTACTTGTTCTGCTGCGCGAGCTTAGAAACCCTTTGCTTAATAAATGCCAAGACGGCCGTCGTCACAGAGGTTGCATTTAGCTCGAGGCTGAGCCTGATCTCGCAGCCTGCCTGCTCCAGGCCTTGTTATATCTCTAGATAGTTGCGGCTAGAGACAATCCACTTAACGCGGGAAGAGGCAAAAGACTGCTTTGCAATAAAGTCAAGCAGCTTTGGCAGGCCAGTGACGCACTTATCTAACGCGTCGATGATTAAGTACGCAGTGGTCAATCTCGGGTCCCGCAGCACGTCCGTAAGGATTTCCACCAGGGCAAACCACGCGTTTAGATCCTCGAACATAGTCTTGCCTAAACGGTCGTACTTTCTCCAGATATGTAACACAAGCGATAGCTGTTGGCTCACCATCATGTACAACAGCCCTCGTAACACAGCCGTGGCGCTATTAATGCGTCCATTAAACTCTTGACAGAAGAAGTACGACAGTCGGGGACCATGTAGCATCAGACTTTGGAGCTCGTCGATGATACCACAAAGCAGCATCGTCTTGCCCTTGCCCGGGTCACCCTTGATCCACAGTAATTGGTTCTCTGAGTCTTTATACCATTGCTGGAAAGTATCGCTGTGAAGGACCCAACAATACGATTCTTTGAGCAACCCGCCCTTGGTGTCCTCGATGCGCTTCTTGTCATCACCTGAGTCTGTGCTGCATAAGTCCCGGATGCACTGTTCTGTCTTATTGATCTCGTCATGAAACCGCCCAAAGGCTCCAACTAGACCTTCTCCATAGCATGGCGCTAAATCGACATCGAAGATACCGAATCGTGAATACACGTTATCTTCTAGACGCGTGGTGCGCCGGTGTTCACTCCACCGTAGCCGCTCTTCGACGCCAAATTGAGATAACGGAGTCCCTTGTAACGCTGTCCGCGGAATGTTGGTAACCTCGTGAATCTGATTCATCAGCGATATTTTGTCACCGATATTTTTTCCATTCCTGTGTGAAGAAATCGACCGAGCTAGGTGCAAGAAGCTCCTGAAGCGTCCAGCCACGGGTAAACCACTCACTCTTGCAAAAGTCTGCTTCCTATGTCGGCACCTCTAATCGCTTATCCGCTTCAGAAGGCTACACTGATACGTCTGACAGGTAGGCGTAGCATCGCGCTGCGTTGCGGTACCAGAGAAACATAGAGCGGATGGCCAGGGACAACTCAGCCTGATTTGCCTTGTCGATGCAGCAAAGTATCGACCCAGAAGTACTGCAAGCCATGCTCCTGGGCTTGTTCCCCACAGAAGCGAATATCTGCATAGCCAGGCTTGTTCTTGCCCCTTTATTATATCACGTCTTCGAAGGTTACTTCGTCTGCTTCTGCTCCCCACATGTGAGAGAGTATCGCATATGGCGGCTTTGTGTCCTCGTTAAATCTTATGATGGAGAGTTCTTCGTTCTCCATACTTAAGAAGACGCATCGTTTTGTATGAGCAGAGGGCCAGCGTATGTAGGAGGAGAAAATGCAAGAGACTGGACTTGGCAACCTATGGTAGTAGGACCAGCGTGGGGCGACAAGGCTGTCTATCAAGACATATGCACCCTAAACATTAGGGGCGAGAAATGGTCGGAAGAAGCGCACCGCACCGTATGAGAAATTGCAAGTTGAAATAGTGTTGTAAGCTCAGGCGGACGCTCGCTGTCATGTTCTTGACATGTTAAGGCTGTTGCTGTTGCATCACAGCTGAAGTTAAGTGGACTGTGGTACCGGTACAAGGCTGTGGCCCGCCTTGATTGGATAAATGATCAGATCATGTGAGAAAATGCTTAGCAGAACAAAATTCTTGATGATATGAGTGATATCACTACGGTAAAAAATTGTTTACTGTAGAATGGTACGCTAGGGGTTTACTATATAGGTGTAAACTAACCTCGTGTATACCCGTAAATAGGTTTAAAGTAGTGGTTTACTTTATTATAGTATAAACATAGTATGGTTTACTATAGACCTATTAGTAGAGTGAATAAGGTGGTTTATAATAGACCTATTAGTAGAGTATATAAAGTAGTTTATAATAGACAAAATATAAGTGTTAGGTATAGTAATAATAGTATTAGATTTTTTTTAGTATCCTTATATAAACTACTAGTACGTTGTTGCCTATCCTGTCCCTAGGCCTAACCCGCCTAATTAACAGCCTATACCCGCCTAATTAACAGGCCTAAAACTGCCTAATTATTAGCCTATACCTGCGTAATAATTAGCCTATACCCGCGTAATTATAAGGCTATCTACTGCGTACCTTACTTATTTTTAAAAAACTGCAGTATAATATAAATTAAATAGGTATACAAGTAGTATAACTGCGCAGTAATTAGTGTAAGTTAGTATATCTAATAATAGTCTAGCGTAATATATAGATAATATACTTACCTAATAAATGCTAGTATATTATATAGTAATAGTGTTAGTATAAAGAGCCTAGTACTATAAAGCTAGATATAGACCTATTATCTTACTTAACTATAGGTAGTTAGTCTTAGACTATCCGCGTTTATTAATAATATATAGCTTATTACTAGGTTAAAGTTAAGCGCTATATCTATAGTAAACTATAGCTACTCCTATAAGGTTAATAATTGTTGTTGTTTAAATCTATTTAATACTATTATTATCTTCTATTATCCTCTAAGGTTAGGCTAGTTAGCCTATAGTAGTAGCGGGTTATGTCTGTCGCTATTAAAGTACTCCTGCCTATTTAGAGTTATTAGCTAGATCTTAAAATAGGTGTATTACTATCCTAAAGGAGAGCTAAATATAGTTATTATAATTATTTCTAGCGGCGTAATATATAATAAACGTGGTGCTCTAGGGGTAGTTACTATCTTTATAATTCCCTAAAACCCTAATAGTATACCTATTTAGAAGTATATAATAGTTATATATAACTATATCCTAGGCGCGTGTCTATATAGCATATACTATAGTTATAATTATAGCATAAGTATTATCTAGGATACGTCCCTAGTGCGTATCTATACTACTATAAGACTTAGATTTTAGATAGTGCTCTTATAGCTAAGTTATAATTATATTTTTATTAATATTATACTCTATACTAAGCCTAAGCTATTACGCGTGGATAATACACTTATATACTAGTATATTCTACTCTAAACTAATATACTTCTAGGAAGGAGAAGTTGCTATCTTCTTAATATAACTAATAAGTCTCTCTAAAGACTATTAGGTATAGTATATAGGTAGTCTAAAATCCCTAGTATTAGATATAAGGTAGAGTAGGTAATAGATCTAAATAGAGCAAGATAGTAACTAGTCTACTTTACTATAGTAGTAGAGTAACTTATACTAGCGAATAAAATTCTCTACTAATAGTTTTAACTTATTAATCTAGTTAATAGTAAACTCCCTCTAGCTTATATAGAAGAGTAGTTTATAGTAGTGTAGGAAGTTATTAGTATATTCCTTCTAAAGATAGACCTATATAGCTAGCGCTCTATAAGTAAGTATAAAAGTCTACTATTTAAACAAAGTCTATATCTTGTATATTATAGTGCTTTATAGGGTAGTGCTAACTTAGGTTAGTACTAAGGAATAGGACTTGTAAAGACCTTTATTAATTAAAGCCTAATTAGCGTTAGTAATAAGCTATAGTATAGTCTTGTTATTAAATTTATCCCCTTTCTAGAGTTAGAATAAGGCTTTAGGTATATTATAGGACATTACGTGTATAACATTAATAGGAAAGCTATAAGGAAAGTGTATAGTAGGAAGGTCTAATAGGATAGAGTAGTAGTTAATACTAGTATCTTAGCGTAAGGTAGTGTATCTAGAGGCTAGCATATTAGTCTGTTATTTATATATATCTTTAATAGTAGTAGCTAAATTATTATATATAACTAGGTAAAGGGTATCTCTATTTAGGAAAGAGTATTTGCTAGTTCTCCCCTTAGTTCCTTTATACAGGCACAGGTAGCAACTCCTTTTTAATATACTAGGCCGTTTTATTCCTATAATCTCTACTATAGCTAGCCTATCTCTAGTTATTAGTATAAGGTAGGCGTAAAGAATAAATTCTTTCTAAGCGTCTACGTTATATATGTAAACTCTAACTATAAGTTAGCGTAATTCCTCTACTATTAGGTATAGCTAAGTGTCTATAAATTTTTTATTAAAAGTACTAGGTATAATAGTAATAATAAGTGTATTATAGTCTTAATCCTAAATAGATAGGTAAAGGTTTAAGATATATAGCACTACTAGTATAATACTTTATTATTTCTTAGGGTTCTTTACTATACCTACTACGTCTAATATAAGTTATAAAGCTAGATCCCTAGGGTCTTAGAAGTATCCTTTCCTACTATATTCTTAAAACTAGTCCCTATTATACACATCTTAGTGCGAAGTACGTTCGCTAGTAGGGTTAAAAGTTACCTAATATACTTTTAATTATTATAACTAATAACTATTATTATACTAGATATATAGTTATAGAAGTATAGGGATATATTACTATTAATATTTAGATTTGCCTTTCTTATTATACTAAGCTCTACCACAGGATAGGCACGTATAAGCAGTGTTAAGGTCGCTAGTAAAGGCTACGCACCTATTAGCACAATAATTAATAGATAGAGGAGTTATAGTATCCTAGAATAAGGTATATAGTGTATGCTGCCCCTAGTAGATAGTATTACTAATATTAATATTATAGCATTTCTTTAAAGTTTATTGCATCTTTTAGAACTTCTTACGTAGAGTACCTATAAATGCAGCGTATATATTAAGAGAGGTAGTGTAAAGTTATTAAATACGCTCTATTTACTTATAATATAGTATATGTCCTATTTACTATTATATATCCCCTAAAAAGTCCTCTAGGTATAGAACCTCTTTATCCTTGTCCGCGAGTTGCATATTATTGTTATAGTTATCTATTAGGTCTATACTATTGCTAGCAGAATTGCTAGTAGAATCGCTAGTAGAATTATAGGAAGAATTAATGTTAAGTACTCCTTATATATTATTAAGGTGTAATAGTTAACTAGTAGGGTGGCTAGTAGTCTATAGTATAGCAGCATCTTTAGTAGTAGTAAAGGGAATATTTTATTTATAGCACCTTCGCTAGTATTGTATATACTACTTTTAATTCACCTTGTAGCATGCACCTTAGTGTAGAGTAAGATAATAATAACACTAGAACTTATTCTATTAACTAGATATTTATAGGTAAGGGGCAGCAATTACCTGCTATATACTATCTATAACAGTTTCTACGTTAATATAGCACTTAGGGACATGGATAGTAGATATATAAATATAGATAGTAGTGTCTAATCTAAACTATAGTGTGTTCCTTTAATAAGCTATAATACAATTATACTAGTCTTCTAGTATAATAGCTTAGTAGCGTAAACTTACTATTTTACTATACTAGATAATATAAATATTAGTAAGCTATATACGTATTAGTAGAGTTATAAAGTTTTATATTTATTATAGTTACTATAATAAACGTATTAGTATAGAAAGTAGACTTTGTATTATCTTCTTTTATACTATATAGGTATTCTACTTTATATATCTATATATTCTACTATAAGCAGATATACTAGACATAGTTTATCTCGCTATAAGTTAGACCTAATCTTACCTACTACTTAAAATAATACTATTAAAGATATAGTATACAACTGCAATCGCGATAGTTAAGACTACTAGAATAACTATCTAAACTACACCTAATTAAGGAAACTTGCTAAGCTTATAAGCTAACTCTTCTAACAAGATAAACTATACTATAGTAACTTTCTATAACTATCTTATAATAACTAAACCTCTAACCTTATTATTACTATTAGACTTCTATAACAGGATATTTAAGTGTGTAGATATATAATTACTTAGAAGACTAATAACTATTCTAGAGTATAGCGTAACACTATACTCCACGCCTATATTCTATTCTACTTAGGAGATTTTGCGTTAAAATATATTAGTTCTAGGATAGATAATTAACTTTAATAGATTATTAACTTAAATACTTAGGACTATTACCTTAAAAATAGTGCAGAGAAGCATACTAGTCTATATCTATTACGTATCCTATTAGATTGCAAAGAGTGTTATAGCTATATTATAGAACCTATAATATTAAATTAATTAGTTTAGAATAGCTCTTTCCTTAACCTAATTAGATCCTAGAGTTGTATTTACTAAGATTATATTTATAAGGATAGGCTAGAGTAACTTAGATAGTATATTATCTATATAAATAGTACTATAATATTAATACTAATATATATCTAATTTAAAAACCTCTAAGTCTAATCCTACGTGCTATAGTAATATTATAGTAGTTAGGGAGCTTACTTTACCTTTACTACATAATCTACCTTATAGAACTCTACTATTAAGCAGCGACTTAGCGTATCCCTCTA